ACGGTTGCTACGGCTACAATCAGCGAGGCCACAGCTTCAATCGGAGACCCAACTACTAGTAGCAGAGGGCGACCAGACTCAGCGCCACTCTTGAACCGCCCAGACCACCGGCACGGCTCGCACGACCCGCACGGCCTGCACAGCGGGCAGCGCAGTCACCTTAGACACGCTGTCCGAGCAGCTTGGCTTGCACAAATCTTGCAGGGGTTTCCATGTGTGCGCTGCGAGTGTCATCTCCAAGGCTTATACGGGATAGTGACGGATAGTGTGCGTTGCTGTTCATCACAGAGTTGGCGTCTCGGTCTCCCCTAAACCCTGAACGCCACAAGGGTGGTACTTAGACGGAAGCTTTCCAGACACGTAGTGTCAAACATGCCAAGATCTGACACGCAACAAACAATGACCCCTGGCTGGGGTCGACAGTTCGCTCTTGACCGTATCATGAATGCTGCAGGTCATTGAGAATGAGCATCTTGCAGTGGTTGCCGGCCTGGTCCCAAGAGCCAAGACCTTGACGTGCCAAAAGCCTTTGTTTTACATAGGTCCATAAACATGCGACTTGTGAGTCCTGGCATGGAGAGGCCAGTCGGGTGTGCAGATGTCGCGTGCTGTCACGGCGTTTCGTCGACCTCAAGGCGCGAACCAATTAAGGGAAACGCTAAGGGAGACGCCACTGCTGAACTCACGGATGCAACATGAGTGTTTGCGACAGCTGGTGATCGTGTCAACTCAAGTGGTGGCTTTGAAGCCCAGGAGTTACTGGTGCATCTTTGGACTGGTGCAGACTTGCTGAACAGCCCCATGGCGCTGATGCAGCGACGGCCATGCCAGCCAGAGCGGCGCCAGAAGCAGGCATGTCGCTCGATCGAAGCAGGCAGTTGACTCATTCCAGTATGGCTCAGTATGGGTTTTAGTTTGGGTTTTAGGGTTTCATTGCCCATGCAAGCTCCCGATGCATGCCGGTGATTTGAGGTTTGGGCTGCCTGGTGATGCTTTCCAAGCACTTTTTCCGAGCAGCGCCAGAGTTCATGCGTCAGGCCATCCGTCTCAACACCGTCTCAACATTCACGCAGACGAGTCCATGACGTTTTTTTTTTGGGGGGGGGCGGGGGGGTTGGGGGGGGGGGGGGGGGGGGGGGGGGTGGGGGGGGGGGGGGGGGGGGGGGGAGTCTAAGGATTTCCTCGGAAGGGGGTCCTCTGTGCTGGTGCCTGGCAGGTGGTCTTGCGGATTGCCCAACACGCGCTGAGCCGCAGCGCCATTGACAAATCACAGTCGCCTCCGAGGGAGGTCAGCTTGGAGGTTCGAGCGACGGCGGCGGTCAAGATGGCCGTTCTGCTGATGTCGTCACCGGGACTCGGGAGATGGATGCTGGGCATGCCACCTCACATTGGCTCTTGCCCCTTGGCTTTGCAGGCTCTGGCAGGCAGCTTGCATTTTGCTTGGGAAATTGAGTGATTTCACACTTGTTTTTGTTTTGCTTGCCGGTGACTTGCAGCAATTCGATTCACATACGTTTTTCTTTTTTCATCGGTTGCTTGGCGTGCTGGCCTTTTCTTTGTTTTTTTGTTTTATCATTTTTTTGTTTACTCCTTTTTTTTGGGGGGTGGGGGGGGTACCAATCCAGCAAGACCCGACAGAGCCCTGTACTCCTGGACCAACTAGCCAGACCCCAGAGGTCCCCTAGCATCAGGTCCAGAGGGTGTCGAATCAAAGCTGCTTGCTTTTGGTCCCGTCATGGTGGGCAAAACCCCCAAACCCCAAGAGATCAAAAAGACGGTGCAGTACCCAGGGAGCAACACTCAATCCATCCCGACAAAGATCAAGAACCAGCGCTCCTGCACCAGCCACCTTTGTAAATCCTCAGCTTGCCAAAACACTGACCGGCATCCGTAAAATCGTCTGGAAGCTTGTCGGGTGGTCCGATTCTTACCAAACGCCTCGTTTCTGCCTTCTCCCAAGGAAGAGCAACGACAGTCGACCACTGGGCAACAAGTTATCCGCCAGCCCCGCAGTGGATGGGATGCTGTGCTCAAGAAGCTGTGACTGCCTGACCTCGGCTGGCGTTATTTGCTGTTCAGCTGTTGTTTTCTGGACTGGGAGGCTGCCATCCGTCATACTTCCATCTGCGGGATTGGCTAGAAAGTTTCTTCCTTCAGCGATGCTGCGATGCTATGGTGGCCGTGGCCCGGCAATGGCAATGTGACCAAACCTATGCCAGCAGGCCCAACGGCGACGCCTTCGCTAAGGATCCTTTGAGAAACCTCGAAAGGCGCGCCTCGCCTCAAAAAAGCCAGAGAGAGGCCACCATGGCACTTGGAGTCGGTGGCTTCTGAAACCTTGAAAAGGCCCAAGACTGCTTTTCACTAGCACAGGCGAGTGCAAAAGATTCCTGGGGGAACGGAGTGATGTCGTAGAGGGGTGCGAAATTCTTTCGCCCTCACCGGTCACACCATGTCACACCCCAGTGCCCGGCAAACAATCTAGCACTCTCCCCCGATGGACATTGCATATACGGGAACAGGGTGATCGTAATTGCAGTGCTGGTTGTTGGGGGTCTGATCTTTTGTAGCTCAACAGGCGGCTGCAACGAACCTTGTCAGAAGTTGAAGTGACACTCGCAGGTCCTTCCCAATTTTTAGGGGGCGTAGATCCAGTGCTCACCGAAGAAATCACTCAGGTACATGCCTATACACGCATATTCAGATTAGCGCACATAAGAAGCACGTGGCCTTGTCAGGTTGGGGTCCATTTCAGAGTGCATTCATGTGCCTTGGCTCACGTCGCGACATGTTGCGGAGAGTTTGTGCAATTGCCTGTGCAACTGGACATCCTGGAAAACTTGATGAGTGAGTGACTTTGCCCTCGGATCCCTCGGTGCTCAAGCAGCGCCGCTTTGGACTTGGGCCATAGTGTTTAGGGCCACGGGTCACCACTCACAACACGCCAGATAACCCGTTTCAAGATGAGAAGCAGGCCAAGTGGGACCTTTTGGTACACTTCCAGATTGCTTTGCAGGGTCGGATTTTGTTCACTTTGGAGCGTGATGTTGAGGGGTAGCACCCGTCTCTCCGGGCCATGCTCCGTGCAAAGCCAGGCATCCGAATTTGGATGTGTCCACAAGCCACATGAAGTTTCCCCGTTTGGATTTCATAGCACAGCTGTGCTACCTTTGGTGAGCTGGGACCCGAAGTTGAAAGGCGGGACAGCTGCAGCTGGAGGCTCGGCAAAGTCGGACCAGAAAGCGTCTAGTTTGCCTTTGTGATTCTTGGTAGTTGGCTCCGAGAGTTCTCCCGATGAAAAGTGTGGATCAGTTGCACTTCCCAAAAAGAAAGTGATCCTGCACGCTTCATGTGACAGGTTCTCAGCCCGTTCTGGCCCTTGAAAACAGGGCAGTGGGGTGCCCTTGTGAAAGTGCCCAGGTGCGCAATGCAAAATGAAGCCCATGATGAGACACACATGGAAGTTTCAATGTTTGGCTTCTTATTGCTTGCAGGCCTGATGCTCCACCCGCGGTGTCAGACCTGGGCGTGCCGAGTGATGCTGATCAGCAGGCACTGGAACATTGTTTAAGATATATAATTATGAACAGGAAATGCCAAATGAGAAGGCGTGTTCTAGACATATGAGGGACCACTACTACTACTACTACTACTACTACTACTACTACTACTACTACTACTACTACTACTACTACTACTACTACTACTACTACTACTACTACTACCACTGCACTACTACCAGCAACAATTACAACATGAAATCCGTCCGAAATACGACAGAAATAATTGCATTGAACATCTGATTTTCCGAGGAATAACCAATGTAACGTATGTTTTCTTTCTGAAAACAAGTGTTTAAAATTTGTGTCTGGTTGGAACACCGGATGTTACGCATCCAAGTGCCTGTCTGTTTCACGTATGACTTGCATGTATCCATGTTGCTCGAGGTTCTAGTGCAGTGGACTACAGCTGTGCGCCTGTAGCAAAAGAGACACCTCAGTGCCTGTGTTCCTGTATACGCCTAGCGAGGGGATACACGTCCAGGTTACATCTCAGGGGGGGGAGCAGTGCACTGTTTCAGGTGGCTTTCAGACCTTCCTGACCTGGGCGATTGGGATCGCATCGGGTCCGGCACTTGACCCTCAGATGCCGCAGAAGGATTTCGAGGACTGCTGCAAGTTTCGCTGATTGAAGGCTGGACTTGTCGGACGCGGAGGATGAGAAGGGCGACCGCTGGTAGGGCACGCCACGGCAGCGGGAGCAAAAACGGACTGCATTGCAGTGTCTGCATTGCAGTGTGCATCAGTGTGCTACATGTGGTCATGTCGTGTGCACTCCGCACCAGCCCGTCTCAAGCATCTCAGGCTTCCAAACTAAAATTCCTAGTTCCTCAAAGCCTTGAAACACCCCGGTCGTGGTTCGGCAGAGACTGTGCAGCCCGCCATTGAAGCCCCGATCGGCAGTCACGCAGTTGTGCGCACCCTAGGACACAGCGAGGCCGGGAGACGCTTGTGAGGCGCGCTGCGCACTCACCGCCGGTAGGTAAAGAACGCTGCTTCAGGAAATGTGGATGTGCATCCAACAGCCGAGTGAGGACGAGGTGCTGTACGGCGTGGTTTTGTTTTCAGTGCCACCATCCAGCATACCCCGATGCAGGCACGACGTGATGCTGACGCGCGCATGTCAGAACTCCTGAAGGAGGACGCGGGCCCGGCAAGTGCATGCATCATTGATGCCGCATGCCTGCCAGGAATTGGGGTCTTTGCGCAACACATTGATGCGAGAGATCCGGCAGATGCTGGCGGAGCAGATGCGTGACATCCGGCTCTTGGTCAAGGTGTGTTGCCAGTCTATTATGCGCAAATATGCGCACTTTTGGTTTTCACTGTCGCGCACGGCTGTGGTTTGTCAGTTGACCAGGACAGTGGCTCCAGCCCGGAGGCAGATCGTTCGTGGGGAGCTTGGTGGCACGCACGAGCCCGCCAGAACAGTTGCAAGACAGCGTATCATGTTCAGAAACGCCGAGGGCACCTGACATCTGCTCCTTTGCTCTCAGCGAGGAGGACGGCAGTCATTGAAGATACGTAGACACTGACGGGAGAGATTTTGGAGTGTGACAGATCTCGACGTCGGACTCAGCGGTGCATGCCGCGTCGAAGCCTGAGCCCGATGCGAATCCATGGGGATCCTGCAAGATTCGAAGCTTGCTGCCAGGCAGTTCGAAATCGATTCCGAGTATGACGATCTCGACTGGTCGCAGGTGCACTCTGTGCCACCTCTGACGGCAGAGCTTTGTGACTTTGTGCATGTGGAGACGTGGAGACGTGTCTCAAGCTGACAGCTCTCTCTCTCTCTCTCTCTCTCTCTCTCTCTCTCTCGTACCTGTGAGGTGGAGGCGGGCTTCACTGAGGCGCCGCCGCGGGCTGTGTCAAACTGAGCGAGGGGTTGGTGTTGCGGTTTCTTGGGAGCAGTCAACATACAGTACATTCTTGTTGCGCAGGCGGCTGATGGCGGAGACGAAGACCAAGATGCCCAGCAGCCCGGAATCGATGAGCTGAGCATGTGGTGTGCACGAGCTCTGAGGAAGGATTTTCCAGCCCCGAGAAAGTGCCCTTGGTCTGGCTTCCTCGCGAGGTGCAACAACTTCAAAAGCATTGTGATGTTGACGAGCTCATAGCAGAACCAAGATCGCCGCCACAGGACGAGATGAAACACACGCCGCGGGCTGGACCATGGACGGTCTTGCAGGCCTGGGAATCGGAAGCGAAGGCATCATGTGTGGTTGCCAAACATCGACATGCCTTCACGAGTTTTGATTAGCAGATGCTTCAGGACGGAAAAGCTTCGCCGATTGAGGCCGCCGAACGACTTGCGCGCAGCTTGCACCCCTCACCAGCCTTGCTAGCAGCCCGGGCAGGTACAGGGAGCGGAATCGCTGCAAGGCCTCCCTGTCGTGTGCCCTGTCACAAGTCATCTCTTGTTTGGCTGTGAAATTTTGGCTGCCAAATTCTGCAAGCGGATCAGAAGGGATGCGGGGATCGTTTGTGCAAGCATGGACCCAAGTATCCGAATCGGCTGTTGGCAAATGGGTGGTTGTCAAAATGATGGTCCCTTTTTGGGTCCTTGAATATACTACAGCACCTAGCATTTAGGGTAGTGCCCAGAAAGGGACCATAGTTTTGACAACACCCAAATCGTTCACTGCATTCTTCCATTCCTGTGGAGCTTTCTCGAGCAGTGCAGCTGAGGCTACTTGCGGAAATTCGGCGATTTGTCTCGGTGGCCTCCTTGATGTTTCAGCGAGTGGCAGTTGGAGTTGAGAATTGCACTCACCTACTATTTTTCCCAGATGGATAATAAATAGCAAACAAAGTACAGCAATGAAACCCTAAACCCTAGACCCTAAACGAAACAAGATAAAGCATACTTAAAGCAGCTTGAAGATTGGGGTTCGGGGGCCTGGGACCCTGGGGTCACGGTTCGGTTTGAGGCCGACGATGAGTTCGAAAAATTGGGCGGCGCGAGCCGGGTCATGAGCCAGGCACGGGCACACGACTACTACTACTACCACTACTACCACTACTACCACTACTACGACTACTACTACTACTACTACTAGTACTACTACTACTACTACTACTACTACTACTACTACTGCTACTACTGCTACTACTATACTACTACTGCTGCTACTACTGCTACTACTACTACTACTAGTGCTACTAGTACTACTAGTACTACTACTACTACTACTACTACTACTACTACTACTACTACTACTACTACTACTACTACTACTACTACTCCTATTCCTGCTCCCCCTCCTCCTTTCTGCTTCTACTGCCACGACGACGACGACGACTACGACGACGACGACCACTACTGCTAACTACTACTACTACTACTACGACGACGACTACTACTACGACGACAACAACGACTACTGACAATCATAGTAATCATCCTTACATGGTACAAGCAATAGCAATAATGTAAAACATAGAAAGAACTACAATGGTTCATGGGCCTATTAGAGTAAGGTTTCTTTAAGTGTTGCTATAACGGTTCTGTAACATGCGTCTCCAGGCCAGATTTGACTCCTGCTCCGCATCTAAGCTTTGAGGCGACCGTCGCTGCAATGATACTGGACGAGCTCTGCACAAGCTGCTGCGGGGTCGTCCAGCCAGCTTTGGGGGAGGTCAATGTCGGACAACTGTGCACCTTCACGAAGTTGTTCCAAGGTACAGTGGCTGGTCTGCAGATTGCACTGCATATATCTGCACATGTCGTATTGTGATTCTAAGAATATTGTAATCAGATGAATGAGTGCTAGCTTTTGCAAACACCGAGCATGCAAATTCATGCTGCTGCTGCTGCTGCTGCTGCTGCTGACGCTGTCTGCTGGATGCGCTGAGGACCGCGGAACGGCAGAGAAAGAGGACATTCTGCAGGAGAGCTGGCAGCGCTGGCACATGAACAAGTGCCAGAAAGCCCTGGAACGATGTGACAGATTCTAGGTGGCGGCGGCGGAGTTTGCCACGGAACATCAGGAAGGCGGACCACGGCATGCGAGAAGAGATCCACAACGGCCTCCGTATGAGTATGAGACTCGAACCTATGAGACTATGAGCCGACCATCCCTGTAACGGTAACGTTGATTTTGGCTCGCTCGAGACAACTGCTCAGGGACTGCGGGACTCATGGGAGATCGGAGATGCGAGGCCCTGCGACCTGCAAGTGACGAGCGAAACAAGCCGATCATTGCAGCTGCGGCAGCACCGCAGCCGCCGCAGCACGGCTCCCGTCTGATCTCACATGGTATGTGCGCCTACATGGGAGAAAAAGCAACAGAGAAAGATCGCGCGCAGCCATCAAGCAGTAGCAATTGCTTCCTGTGCTTGGATAGTTGCAGGAGTTCTAGGCCCAACTGCGTCCGAGAATTCCTGAGGTTGTGTTGCTAAGACACTAAGAAGTTATATTGAAGCCCTTGCTAGCTTTTCGGCGCGTGTCCTACCGGCTGCAGGCTTCAACATTTGTGCATCGTTTTGGAGTTGCGCAAGACAAGAAGGCCACCGACTCCGTTGGCTCATAGTCGCAGTCTTGACTTGACTTGATCCTGCCACGGCCATGGCAGCGAACATCAAGGCTGCCTGGTGACACTGAGACCGTTTCTGCCAGGAATCGAAAACGATGACGCGCACACCCGCCCACACAGACATCGTCACGTCAAGTGCATGCAGGCAGATGGCCCGGCAGATGGCCCGGATGGCCTCCGGCTTCGGAGCTGGGATGATGCCCGGCCGCACTTGATTACTTGTGGTGATATTTTGTGATATCTTGTGGAGCCACTGGGGCGAGCTTGTGCTGTCTGCTTTGCCATTGTTGAGAGCACATCGCCTACCAAAAGACTCTGTTGAAGCGTCTCACGATCTGACTGTCTGACCACAACAAGCCACCCAGCCTGGCCATTCCAAGGAGTGCCATCTTTGGACGGTTGACCTTGTTCGGTTCACCGAAAGGCTTGGCTTCACGCACAAGGCCCTCCTCCAGTTTCGTCACGGGTCGGGAAACAGTTAGATCACTGATGGATCCTTGCCTGCAGGTGCTTCACTTGTCTAGAGATGACCAGGAGGGGTTGCAGTTGTGTTAAGGTTTGTTTCCACGGGTACAGCAATTAGTGGCTCTCCCAATGGTGTTTGTTGGGCAGGTACTACTGATCAAAGAGGTCGCAGGGCATGGGACGGCCCTAGCTTCTTGGAACCAGGTGGGTTCCAAAAAGTCGCAAGCAGTGGTGTTGGATGCGGGTGACAACGCTGACAGGCACATCCGGAAAGAGCAGTTCGAGCAGGCTCGATGTCGTTCTCTGGCTCCGTGAGTGCTATGTTGAACCACCGCTTGCGTAGCCAGGAGACCTCATCCTTCAGGTCAATGAGCAGGCCCGTGCGGAAGGAATGAAGCAGGACGATTGCAGCTGTGGTGCGTCTTGTGCGAGTTGGCAATGATGCAACTTGCGTTTAGGAGCTACGTGTGTCTGGGAGCTCAGCTTGATATGCCACATTCTGTCAACATGTGCCATGTCAATAGCACCGGCGCCTTGTGAGGAATCCGCAAGTCACACTGCACATGACTCGCTACCCGAGAACGTCGTGGTCTGGGTCGCCGAATGGCCGAGTTGCTGATTCTGTTGACGGTCCATCTTGCCATGCCCAGGTTCGAAGCCACATTCGACGGGCGGCGGGACCTTGGCATCCGGTCTGAGTTAGCGCCTCAGGGCCTCGACCAGCGAATGCGGACGCGCAGTGTGCAGTGAGCCGTGTCGGTAGGAGAAGTGGGCCTGGAGAGTTGAAGATTGTTCAGGACAGCTGAATTCTGATGTCCCTGGTCTGTGGCGCTGTTGCGGGTTCGTGTGATGGACGAATGGGCAGGTCTTGGCGCAGGGTGCCATCAGCATTTCCAACCATCAGTGGGTCACGACCCAAGCAGTGGTGTTAACGGAAAGCTATGACTAGCATTCGCCCGTGGCATGTTTTTTTGCGGCACAGGTCGTGCAGCGCAAGTACCACAGAGTCATCAAGCGCGGTATGTTTATTGTGAAAGCTCGCGCCACAGACTTTATCGGTACGTTCAACGATTCATCTTCTACGGACACTTTTAGGTCCTGTTCGGTGTTTTGCGATGTCAAGACTTGGCTGTGCAAGGTCAACGAAACGAGCGAGGCTCATTTGATGGAGTCTGAGCTGCGCAAAGCGCAGCAGCTGACGCTCCTGGTCCGGCGAGGACGAGACACGTCTGAGGCATGGGTGGCACTGCAAGTTACACGGGCCTGTTCTTTGTAGGATTCTGAAAGACGAAATTGCTATGGGTTGCCCCGCACTTCTGTCACTGGTTTTATCATCAGGCAGAGATTCATTTATGTGTGGGTTCCTGTTGACGCTGCGGGTTGCTGATCCATTTCAAGTTGCATGCTCAAGTTGCAGGCGCGCAACTTCGATGATTGCTTTGTGCAAACCCTGCATTACATCCGTCGGGTACTCAGCGTTTGGACAATTTGCTGAGGCTTCTCCGGTGACGACTGTGAGAAACACGCGTAGTGGCGTCATCTGAGTCGTTTGGTGTTTGGGCCACTTACGGCTTTCCGGATCAGTTGTAAATCTGTCGCTTGTTTGGACACGTAGTTTCCAGCGTGTATACTTATTTGTAAAGGTAGTCTCCTGTGGCGATCTGTTCGTGGTACTCGCAAATGGGATGTACCCTAAACCCAAAAAAGCAACCCTAGACCCGGATTGTCGTTTCCAGAGCTCTGACTCTTGAAGCTGAAGGTATACCGTGATATGATAAAGTAAATAAAATGGTATAGTATCATAATACAATGAAACATGACATAGTATAACATAGCAGACATAATGTCAGACAATACTACAATCGAAGGCAATCTCAATGAGGTACCAGTATTCCGCTCCGGACCACGTCGAAAGTTCAAGAATCTTCTTGGTTATTGAGTATGCTGTCTTGCTCACTGCGTCTGTCTGTTTGGGAAGGGATGTTTGTGCGGAGGCGGGTTGGGCTTCAAACTACTCCCAAACTTTTCAAACGATTTGGCACAGTTTATTCGCAGAGCATGTTTGTTGACTCATGGATTTCTACTTGAAAGTTGATTGAGCTTGAAACTGTGTCCCCACGCTATTGAAAGATTAGTCTCCCAGCTATCTGCTACGTGTATCCGAAGCCCGGCCCATGCACCCTACCACCATAGCCGCAAGCACCAGCAAAAACTGCTTAAAAGAAAGACCACCCCCGCCCCACCCCACCCCACCCGAACCCACCCTTCGCGCCAACACCTTACTCGCGGCACCGACCCTTCCCTGACATCAACCTCTTCACACTTGAGGTGAAACCGGCTCTTCGGAAAAATGGCTCATTGGTTGTGGGATTGCGAGCACGACAGCCATGATGCTACGTGAGCTGTTGTCTAAACTCCGTATTGGGGGGGGTTTATATAGAGGACTATTATGGGGGAGATTGAGAGGGATCCGGGATAGTCGGAGTTTCGACTATAGCTCATGTGAGCCACTCCGGAAATCTCATCAGACAGACTCGGCAGCGTGGTTGCAAACACTGTTTGCAACCAGTCTTCGACTGGTTTTCATCATGGAGCGGCTCTTTGTTTGTCCCTTTGGAGCATTTTTCGACTGGGTCTAGACGGCCAGAGAGCCGTACGGCGCAATAAGAGCCAAGGTGCGCATAGTGTGGAAATAGGTTGTGAGCAAGGTTGCACAAAGTTGCTGCGCAACAGGGAATCAGGCCCGCGCTATAAGTAAATGCTGGCACTCAGGCGGCAAACTTGCGGTCGACCTATTGGCTGGGCTTGTGATAAAAGAACAGTGTTGCTCGTCAAATCGCTAGGAAAGCTCGCAACACACGGACCAGCACGGAACAACTCCTTGGCATTTGCGCCGCCTTTCGGCTTGTTGTCGCACAGACCGCATGCCGCATACCCTTTGGTCCCAGGTGACTTGGGGGTGTGCTGGGGCTGGCGGTGGCGTCCAGACCATCCAGGACTCTTTGACATCGGTTGACACGTTGATGTGTAATGCTGCATGCGCCGGCGCATGCGACATGCCTGTCATCACATGCGGCCGAGGATCAGCTGCCAATTCCGACTGAATGTGGCTGCCTTATGCTTTGTAGAAGCTTTGCGAGGTTCAGTACTCCGTAGAACGGCGTTCTCTGCAAAGCTTGCTTTGTAGGAAATACATATTCACAGAAATAAAGGAGCAAAAACACATAGCACGGGGAAAGAGACGAACGGGAGGACATAGGCAGGGGATGCAAGAGGAACACAAAGCATTGTTTCAATATGGTCTCTCTCCATTCCAAATTTCGTTCCTGTCTTTCCATGACAGGGTATCCCGCATCTGTTCAGGAGCGGAAATCCTGGTAGGTGCTCGTTCGTCGCTTCGGACCTGAGCTGAGTGAGCAGCTTTAAACTAGCCGTTGCCATCCTTTTTGCACTGGAAGCACAACCTCAACTTGCAAATGGTTCGACCCACATGAGCGAGCATGGCCATCGGGCATCTTGTGCACGCTACCAGCTGAGGCCAAATGGGCACCATGAGAAGTGCTGCAAATGGCGCTGCTACAGAGAGATTGGCGGCCTTCGGTATACTACACGTATTAACCTCCCATTGGAGGGGCCGAAGCCTGCAGTGGACGCGAATTCAAAAAGGTGCACGCAAGCTGTTGCGGCTTAAATGTTAAACAAAATGAAAAAGCTGACTTTCGCCATCATCTGCGTGCGCTCCTGGGATACCGGTCAAGCGAGAACCATTGTAGAGCGGATTACACCAAGGACAACAACTGCTTGCGCAGTTCCTTGTAAAGCGGGCTCCGCCGAAAGCTACAAGTAACAGGCAAGTCCCAAATTGAAACATAAAGCCTTGCGATGGCGCCCATCACGCCATGCTGCAGCAGATCAGTGTCACAGCTGGATCAGCAGCTCATGTTCAGATTACAGTGTGCAGTTGGCGCTTGCTCACCAAATGCGACTGATGACTATAGTAACTATAGTAGGATAGGTACTGAAACATCTGATATACTCTGCTATACTCTACGATATTACTATACGATACTGCACTACCCTACACTATACAGTAATGTGTTATGATATACCGTCGCAGGCAGGAAACGGCATCTTCAAAGGGCATGCTCACGTCCGAGACTTCCTGAGGTTGTGTTGCTAAGACGCTTGCTCGCTTTTGGGAGCGTGTCTGCTCAAAGTCTGGCGCCTCCACGATCATTTGCCTCGGCCGTGCATAGCCATGTCCTCGAAGGCCTGGCTGTGGTTTCAATGTTCACTGAGCTGTTGCGCTCACCTGCGCGATTTCATCGAGGTGAAAGTGTCCGCAAATCGCTTCAACCACCTGGAGATGCTCTTGGGCCTGGAGGTGCGCAGACTGATGGCATAAACAGGAGTGGCACGAGACATGCGTGATCATGTGTATGGCATCTTGGCACATGAAGCTGGCGCGAGGCTACGCCTTTCAAGTCCAAGAAGGCCCGTAGATTCCAGTGCACGGCTTCATATTTTCGTTTCTGCCAATTCGCCCAGATCAAAGTGAACGCAGCGCGCCTGGAGTACTTGACGGAGCTCCTGGAGAAGGAGGCTGGGCTGGTCTGGGCTTAGCAGTGAAGGGAAGATTGGCTCACTCGCAGTGACGTTGAAATCATGTCAGCACACGCCCACAGGTTTTCAAGCGAGCGCAACTCGACGAGCGTGACAGAGAGGCGTATCGGGCAGCTTCGGTGTACTTCGGCTGGTCGCCAGTGATTTGCCAGCCTTCAGCGCCATCGACTACCTGTCACTTGTGCTCATGCACATAAACTCGTGTTTTCGCACGGCCAAGTGTGCTTAATTAACCCGTCAGCATGCTGCCGGCTTCCAGCAAGCAACGTGCCATGTTTGTTCAGTGAACAGCATTCCTTGATCCTGCTACTTTCGCACGCAGTTTAGCTTGTGCGCAAATGCAACAAGACGATATAGATAATCTTGGATGTTTCAAAAGTTGCGCACTGACTTGTGACGCCCAGCCACGCTTATGTCTTGATGTTGCCAGGTTCTCAAGCTTCAGCGCAAGGGCAAAGTCTTCCTTGGATGAGGCTGTCTGATGGAAATCCCTTCGCGCCGAGGTTGAAGCAAGACATTCACGCCTGGTTTCACGTTTCGTCCTCCTTGTCGGAGTCGTGGAGAGACCCAGTGTGTCAGAACTTGGCCCCAAGGCACAAAAAATCAAGGCAGAGTTGAAAGAACAGTTATACAATATGTGTTATCGAATATGTAGTTATTAGTTACGAATTTCCTGTGCAAATCAGTGGGCCACGCGAAATCTCGCCCTGAGCATCCTGAGCAGTGCCACGACAAAGCGATCTCCGAAGTCGGATTTCGTTGTTGCATTCACCATGTCGTGGCCAAGCAAACCTGCCCGAAGCTTTAGTGAGCATTTGCTACAAGATCCCATTTTTGTAACGTGCTAAATTGCAGGCTTTGTGTCCGTTTGATCCTCGTTCCAAGCCCCTTGTATGGCACAGTGGCGCGTGCGCCAGCTAATGCCATGAAAAGTTGAACCTACAAGGACGGCCACCGGTGCTGGCACTGTCACAGTTGGGGTTCACTCTCTATCGGGCCCACGGTGACAAGTAGGATGGAGCCGATAACCAACCTTCAAACTTTTCCGAAGCGAGCCGCGAAACCCTCATCTGAATCGCCTTTCTGGGTGAACCATGCATGCCTGAACCTTAGGATTCTTTAGGTAGTGCATCGTTGTGCCCAATCTTGGTTGATTCTTCGCCCCGCTTTTGCGCCTTTGAGCTGCTGCGTACTTCAGCAACATGTTGCTGTGGCATCCCACCTCTTGTTCACGAGACCTGCTATCGGGCAGGTCGAAACTTGATCCGCATCCGCATCAGCGTTTCTGAGCGTGGGTTCCCGGAGCTGGCAGATGAAACGTGTTTGCCAGCGTTGTCTTTGCCTTCACGTCGTGTGCTTCAAAGCCGCTGCAGCCACACCATGCTCCCAACAAGCTGAGCAGCATAACTGTGCATGACTGTTAATACTGCATGCATGTCGCCGTCCTGTTAGTTTGATCTCACAACAGAGGCCGCACCCGACATGTTTCACTCGTGACATAGCCAGGTACCAGCTGAGCGTGGAGCGCGAAACTACCTGGCTTTCGCACAGGGGTCCTCCCTTCTGGATCCTCACACGGCATCTGAGTCTTCGCAGTTCCCCAGTGTACTGAATAAGTCAACAAATTGCCGACACCTAAGTCTAAGTACTTAGGCCTTAGCATTTCAGTCGTGCGAAGCCTCTGAATGTTTCATGTGGTACCCGTACCATCGACTCAGTACCAGTACGAGTGATGCTTCAAGTGAGACTAGGGGCGCCAAGTTGTAATCACGGTGAGTCAGATCGTCGTACACGTAGAGCTTGTGTACGGCTTTACACAGACTGCGGGACTGTTTGGAGGCCCATGATCTCCTTGATGGCAGGAATCGTGAAAATGGGAGTTTCCGAGAGTTGGATTAGCTCATTTTGGGGTCCTTTTTGCAAGGATCCTACTTTTTGGGTTACTGTATTAGGATCATGGGACTTCGTAAGTAAGGTTATAATATCCTAAATGGGAATACAACATCTATAACCCCAGTTACTCCCATGATCCTCTAGGCATTATCGGAAACTCTCAAATCAGAGAGCGCTCATCGTGGGCCAGGACGTGGCTGCTAGCTCGAAATCTGCGCCAGCGTCTCTGCGAGATGGGGAGAAAACATGGCACTTTCCCGTCGAAGCGCTGCAAGATCTTCTGAAGCGCATTGCCCCACTGTGGCAAGCACACGCAAAGAAGTGCAGCCTTGGGCTAGGAGGTCCCTTTGGGCTCTTCAGCTTGAGATCCCGTGTTTGCAGCATGGCTTCCTCCTTGTCAGAGCTGAAGGTGGCTTGTCCTTTGCCAGTTAATTCTGAACGCTTGTGTATGTTTGTGTACCCCATGCTCTCGCAGGCCATGGGCATGGACGTCTGCACCGAGGTGGCGGCAAGCTTGCAGCTTGTTCCGGCATCAGCATTTGCTTTTAGTCAAGGGCAGCCTGCTGACATAATATTGTTCCGATGTTGGAAGAGCAGAGCCTGCAGCCGTCGCCCAGGTCGTTGCGTCGTGCTCCTGCTCTACCGCATCTGCTTGGCAGCGCCCAGAATGTGACTCGCTTGTAACCAAAGCCAAAGGACCTGGCGCCTGTGAGGGTTTAGGTTTTGCGGGGTGTTTTGTGACAGCGTGAGGCCAGGTGATGTACTGGTAGCGAACATGTGGGAACATCCTGCCTTTCGGACTTCTTCCATGCGATCATTCCCAGACTGACGCTGCTGCCAGGCACAGATATGCTATATGTTCAATGATTTTGATTTGCTGCTTCTGCAGCTTCGGACTAACAAGTCTCACACGGCGGTTCTTCATGTCAAATTTCACGTCGTTGTGAGCCCGATTTCACTTTGCATCATGACTGCCGTCGCCAACATGCATAGACATTTTTGCCGCAGAGTGTCCCGAGTAGTTCCCAGATGTTCTTAGTCGAACATCCAACGGTGGGAAAAGACGGGTGTGGTGCTCTCAGGAGCTCTACGTTGTCGATTGTAGGCCTTCGTGTCGAGCCATGTGGGGTCGTTTTGAAATTCAGGTTTGGCAACAGGCACGAAACAAACACATCACAAGTTGTTGCGACTGACAATTGATGGACCATGACCAGGACGGACGTTTGCGACAGCTGTTGTAAGGTTGCAGCGGAGAAGGTAAACGAATCTTTTGCATCCTTGGGAGCCCCAGAAACACTGTCTTGATACAGGCATTGGTGGAGGTTGTAAGCTATGGAGCATTTTGCCTTTGCCATGGGTTCGTGATGCGCAGTTAACGCAATGGCTGCAGGCAGCCTCCGTTTGCAAAGGCCATCGCGCTGAGGCAGCGTTTAGGGTTTAGGGTTTAGGTTCCGGTTCGTCTGGCCTCGGACGATCGTGGGTTGCCGGTGTGCCAGGCCTCATTGCAAGTGGGGTTGGCCAATGTCATTCAGGCCAGAGAGCTGAGGAGGGGACCGATGATTCATGGTTCTGCGACCCCGTGACCACTTCACCTTGAGACCGCAGCACCTTTGTCGCAGGCACCGACCGGAGGAGCCATGAGCCGTGCAACGAGCTCTCTAGCAGGCAAAGGCACGCTCAAAGAAATCAAATTGAAGTTCAGACTGCGGTTCATGTCATTTCCGAGAAAGTTCAATGTGCAGTTAGGGTTTTGCCGAGGCAGTTGCTGACTGACATGAAAGATACTCGCTGTTGCAGCTTTGAGCGATGCGGCAGCATACCCAAAGCAGTAACCAGAAGAACATGCCAGCAAGGTCCAGGGCTTCTTTGGCATCACCACATGCTGCGCTAGCTGCATCCAACCTGCTCTCCTTTGGGATTCATGCATCGCCCAACGCTCTCTGTGGCAGCATGCCTTGCTGACATGGACGGGATTGGAGGCGGCGGCACAGAACAGGGCCCAGATGAAAGCCTCGCAGCCACGAGCTCGGAACGAGCAGGGCTGCGTTGAGTCTGCTGTGTTTCGACTCTCTGGCAGCTGTCAGCTCCAGGTCCCTGAGCAGCTTGCAGCCGCTGCTGTTGCAGCGGTTGATGCGGCTGTTGCCGCTCCGCTGTCACCTCCGGCTGCAATCGAGGTCTCGGAGGACTTGCAATCGGCCTGTATGGTACTTGGCAAATGTCGGACTGCCCAACTACAACCTAGCAAGGACGACGCCTCCGCACTCCCGTCGCTGGCCGCTGCCCTTGCTGAAGCTGCTAAAGCACATACAAATTCTGCTTGCTGAACATGCAATGTTGCACAGCATTGTACAGCGCATGTGCTGCCCCATGCTCTGCCAGAGCAAGGTTGTCAGTTTCGCAGAGATGGGAGCGACGACAACAGTGGTCGGGGAACCAAGACTTACTCTTTCAGGTTGTCTACCCAAGACTCGCAGCTTGCAACGAAACACAGACCTCTTGGCAGTATCACTTTGCCGTCCCTGGACACTTTGACAAACGCCTGCACCAGCAATGTTTTGAGTTCTCGATCGGCAGCAACTGGAAACTGCGAAGATCGCTCTGCAGTGCTTGCTTTGGAGTTTCACCGTACTAGGCCAGCGATGCGCCCGAGGAGGTCTCAGGTGACGCCGTGGCCTCGTTGAAAGATGCTTTGCCTCTCCAGCTTCGATCGTCGTGTGCTGTAGATTGCTTCGTCATCGTCCGACGACGAGGTGCTTGAGCCTGCTGGGTGTGCTTTGGCCTGTGGTGTTGCCTCTTGTTGCCGCATTCGCGACAGGCTTTGGAGCGTGTCATCGCGGCAGCTGAAAGGCTGCGAATTCGAGGATTGCTGTAGCTGCGCAGCTACTCAACGCGATAATGTGGCATAGTCCAGGACTAGGAAGCAGAGCAGGCACACAGAGTTCGTGACACAGACAACCCGCCACCACAATTCAGTTAATGGCCTGCCTCCTTCAGCGCTGCAACAGCAGTCTCAATCTCGTTTCCGGGGAGCTTGTCAATGCTGGATTCCTGCTTACCAATTCTGTTTGCCACTGGCAATCATACCTCGGGTGAGTTCTCGAACCGCATTGACCAGAAGCTCGCTCATGGGGCGCTTGCAGCAACTTCAACCAGAGGGGCGACGCTGACGCAAAAGCTGCTTGACAACGAGATATGGGTTTGAGACGTTCAAGTTCCGGCGAGGGCTTGTGTTGTAGGCTACGTTCAAGGATTGTTGAGCTTCAGGGTTTGGATCCTGTTGACCAAAGGCTCAAGGTAAATGGTGTGGCTAAGTAAGCCCACTTGCAATTGCATTCGTCGACAAAGGCTACGGGCTACGGACTCTTGGATGGCATGCTTGCCTAGCTCAAAACGAGAAGCAACGAACGCAGCCACTGCCCATATTGTGCTGCCTTGAGCGAGGTGAGGCTTTCCTCCTGTCGTTGTGCCGTTGAACATCACTAGATCTGGTGTCTTCCTGTTCTGTTGCTGTTGATGGTGTTGCTGTTCTTTGGCATATCATAGTAGGTTCTGACCCCCGGAGCTGGCAACGGCAACGGCAATTGAGGTACGTGTCCCTGTTCTTGACTGTGTAGCTGGTGCCTGCAGCATAAGTTCAGTGCAGGATATCAGAGAAACCTCCCAACTGCTAGATGTGAGTGCCGCGGGTCGGGCCGTGCTGCTCAAAGTCCGGCTTCATCGATCGGCAACACCTTTTCCTCAGCCTTGCATAGCCATGTCCTCGAAGGCCTGGCTGTGGTTTCAATGTTCACTGAGCTGTTGCGCTCACCTGCGCGATTTCATCGAGGTGAAAGTGTCCGCAAATCGCTTCAACCACCTGGAGATGCTCTTGGGCCTGGAGGTGCGCAGACTGATGGCATAAACAGGAGTGGCACGAGACATGCGTGATCATGTGTATGGCATCTCGGCACATGAAGCTGGCGCGAGGCTACGCCTTTCAAGTCCAAGAAGGCCCGTAGATTCCAGTGCACGGCTTCATATTTTCGTTTCTGCCAATTCGCCCAGATCAAAGTGAACGCAGCGCGCCTGGAGTACTTGACGGAGCTCCTGGAGAAGGAGGCTGGGCTGGTCTGGGCTTAGCAGTGAAGGGAAGATTGGCTCACTCGCAGTGACGTTGAAATCATGTCAGCACACGCCCACAGGTTTTCAAGCGAGCGCAACTCGACGAGCGTGACAGAGAGGCGTATCGGGCAGCTTCGGTGTACTTCGGCTGGTCGCCAGTGATTTGCCAGCCGTCAGCGCCATCGACTACCTGTCACTTGTGCTCATGCACATAAACTCGTGTTTTCGCACGGCCAAGTGTGCTTAATTAACCCGTCAGCATGCTGCCGGCTTCCAGCAAGCAACGTGCCATGTTTGTTCAGTGAACAGCATTCCTTGATCCTGCTACTTTCGCACGCGGTTTAGCTTGTGCGCAAATGCAACAAGACGATAGATAATCTTGGATGTTTCAAAAGTTGCGCACTGACTTGTGACGCCCAGCCACGCTTATGTCTTGATGTTGCCAGGTTCTCAAGCTTCAGCGCAAGGGCAAAGTCTTCCTTGGATGAGGCTGTCTAGTAGGCTGTCTGATGGAAATCCCTTCGCGCCGAGGTTGAAGCAAGACATTCACGCCTGGTTTCACGTTTCGTCCTCCTTGTCGGAGTCGTGGAGAGACCCAGTGTGTCAGAACTTGGCCCCAAGGCACAAAAAATCAAGGCAGCGTTGAAAGGACAGTTATACAATATGTGTTATCGAATATGTAGTTATGAGTTACGAATTTCCTGTGCAAATCAGTGGGCCACGCGGAATCTCGCCCTGAGCATCCTGAGCAGTGCCACGACAAAGCGATCTCCGAAGTCGGATTTCGTTGTTGCATTCACCATGTCGTGGCCAAGCAAACCTGCCCGAAGCTTTAGTGAGCATTTGCTACAAGATCCCATTTTTGTAACGTGCTAAATTGCAGGCTTTGTGTCCGTTTGATCCTCGTTCCAAGCCCCTTGTATGGCACAGTGGCGCGTGCGCCAGCTAATGCCATGAAAAGTTGAACCTACAAGGACGGCCACCGGTGCTGGCACTGTCACAGTTGGGGTTCACTCTCTATCGGGCCCACGGTGACAAGTAGGATGGAGCCGATAACCAACCTTCAAACTTTTCCGAAGCGAGCCGCGAAACCCTCATCTGAATCGCCCTTCTGGGTGAACCATGCATGCCTGAACCTTAGGATTCTTTAGGTAGTGCATCGTTGTGCCCAATCTTGGTTGATTCTTCGCCCCGCTTTTGCGCCTTTGAGCTGTTGCGTACTTCAGCAACATGTTGCTGTGGCATCCCACCTCTTGTTCACGAGACCTGCTATCGGGCAGGTCGAAACTTGATCCGCATCCGCATCAGCGTTTCTGAGCGTGGGTTCCCGGAGCTGGCAGATGAAACGTGTTTGCCAGCGTTGTCTTTGCCTTCACGTCGTGTGCTTCAAAGCCGCTGCAGCCACACCATGCTCCCAACAAGCTGAGCAGCATAACTGTGCATGACTGTTAATACTGCATGCATGTCGCCGTCCTGTTAGTTTGATCTCACAACAGAGGCCGCACCCGACATGTTTCACTCGTGACATAGCCAGGTACCAGCTGAGCGTGGAGCGCGAAACTACCTGGCTTTCGCACAGGGGTCCTCCCTTCTGGATCCTCACACGGCATCTGAGTCTTCGCAGTTCCCCAGTGTACTGAATAAGTCAACAAATTGCCGACACCTAAGTCTAAGTACTTAGGCCTTAGCATTTCAGTCGTGCGAAGCCTCTGAATGTTTCATGTGGTACCCGTACCATCGACTCAGTACCAGTACGAGTGATGCTTCAAGTGAGACTAGGGGCGCCAAGTTGTAATCACGGTGAGTCAGATCGTCGTACACGTAGAGCTTGTGTACGGCTTTACACAGACTGCGGGACTGTTTGGAGGCCCATGATCTCCTTGATGGCAGGAATCGTGAAAATGGGAGTTTCCGAGAGTTGGATTAGCTCATTTTGGGGTCCTTTTTGCAAGGATCCTACTTTTTGGGTTACTGTATTAGGATCATGGGACTTCGTAAGTAAGGTTATAATATCCTAAATGGGAATACAACATCTATAACCCCAGTTACTCCCATGATCCTCTAGGCATTATCGGAAACTCTCAAATCAGAGAGCGCTCATCGTGGGCCAGGACGTGGCTGCTAGCTCGAAATCTGCGCCAGCGTCTCTGCGAGATGGGGAGAAAACATGGCACTTTCCCGTCGAAGCGCTGCAAGATCTTCTGAAGCGCATTGCCCCACTGTGGCAAGCACACGCAAAGAAGTGCAGCCTTGGGCTAGGAGGTCCCTTTGGGCTCTTCAGCTTGAGATCCCGTGTTTGCAGCATGGCTTCCTCCTTGTCAGAGCTGAAGGTGGCTTGTCCTTTGCCAGTTAATTCTGAACGCTTGTGTATGTTTGTGTACCCCATGCTCTCGCAGGCCATGGGCATGGACGTCTGCACCGAGGTGGCGGCAAGCTTGCAGCTTGTTCCGGCATCAGCATTTGCTTTTAGTCAAGGGCAGCCTGCTGACATAATATTGTTCCGATGTTGGAAGAGCAGAGCCTGCAGCCGTCGCCCAGGTCGTTGCGTCGTGCTCCTGCTCTACCGCATCTGCTTGGCAGCGCCCAGAATGTGACTCGCTTGTAACCAAAGCCAAAGGACCTGGCGCCTGTGAGGGTTTAGGTTTTGCGGGGTGTTTTGTGACAGCGTGAGGCAAGGTGATGTACTGGTAGCGAACATGTGGGAACATCCTGCCTTTCGGACTTCTTCCATGCGATCATTCCCAGACTGACGCTGCTGCCAGGCACAGATATGCTATATGTTCAATGATTTTGATTTGCTGCTTCTGCAGCTTCGGACTAACAAGTCTCACACGGCGGTTCTTCATGTCAAATTTCACGTCGTTGTGAGCCCGATTTCACTTTGCATCATGACTGCCGTCGCCAACATGCATAGACATTTTTGCCGCAGAGTGTCCCGAGTAGTTCCCAGATGTTCTTAGTCGAACATCCAACGGCGGGAAAAGACGGGTGTGGTGCTCTCAGGAGCTCTACGTTGTCGATTGTAGGCCTTCGTGTCGAGCCATGTGGGGTCGTTTTGAAATTCAGGTTTGGCAACCGGCACGAAACAAACACATCACAAGTTGTTGCGACTGACAATTGATGGACCATGACCAGGACGGACGTTTGCGACAGCTGTTGTAAGGTTGCAGCGGAGAAGGTAAACGAATCTTTTGCATCCTTGGGAGCCCCAGAAACACTGTCTTGATACAGGCATTGGTGGAGGTTGTAAGCTATGGAGCATTTTGCCTTTGCCATGGGTTCGTGATGCGCAGTTAACGCAATGGCTGCAGGCAGCCTCCGTT